GGCCGGGGTGTGTTTGCGTGAGAGCCGTCCTGCTTGGGGAGAGGCTCCGGGAGATGCCCCCGGGTTAGGGAGGGCGTAGGAAAGAAGGGCAAATGCCGCCTGCAGATGCACGGGAAACAAAACAAGCGAAAAAGCAGTCATTGTGCTGGAATGGTGAGGAACTGAAATCCACAGCAGCAGGAGCGATTGCCGCCCGTTCCGCGGCGCTGCCTGGGCACGGCGTGCTGCTGAGGGGCTCGGAGGTAAGGGGGGGACACAGAGCTACATCACTCTGGGGGGAGTACCTATGGATACTTTAGGTGTAAGGGCGCAAGCGAAGCAGAAAGTAGCATTTCACTGTAATAGCTTAAAGCTACAGAGCGGGGGAAGAGATCTTTGTACCTCGGTGTGTGGCAAGAAAGGTGTGAAAAACAGAGTGTCTGATGGATTTCTCTTTTTTTGCCTTGATGGTCCAGGAGTGGGGTTTGCAACACGGCAGGTGGGGAATGTGACTAAACCCACTGTGATTATCAGCAGCGAGGGGGACAAAGTTGTGATCAGGACTCAGAGCACTTTCAAAAACACAGAAATCAGCTTTAAACTTGGAGAGGAATTTGATGAAACTACCCCCGATGACAGAAACTGCAAAGTAAGTGACCTCTCTCGGGCTGCAGTGGCTTCTTTTTTCTTTTTTTGTGCTTCTTTTTTCTCTTCTCCCCCCCCCCCCCCGCCGCTGTATCTTTGGTAGAACCAAAGGAAAAAAAAAATGTAACTTCTGCTACTGCCAGTTGTAGCACTGTGAAGGACAGGAAAAAAAGACAAGATTGCATCTTACATGGCTGCTTACGCCATGTCTTGTGTGAAGCGATGTGTCGCCAGCCCCTGTCAAAGAATTGTGTTAGCTGCCCACTTCCCTTTCAATCCAAGTCTCATTTGGCATAATTTTTTTCCAGTCCGAGGGGGGAAATGCCTTCTTCCCTGCAGCTTTGGGGGCTTAACATAAACGTTATCCCAAAGCGCATCTGAACCAGTGGTTCTTGTGCGACTGGAACGCAAACAACTTTTTTCATCCTTTGACAAAACCCAAGTATTGTATGGTATGCTTGAAACTAGGATGATTCATGGACTTGGCTTTAAAATGGCTGGGACTACTTTATCATTCTAGATCCACATCCATCTATTGAAGAGAATTCAATAGAATACTGCATGCTGAATGTGTGAGCAGCATCACAAATACCCCAAATAAATGAATGTCTTTGTGTTTCTTGGTATCTCACAGTCAGTTGTGACCCTGGATGGAGACAAGCTAGTTCACGTACAGAAGTGGGACGGCAAGGAGACCAACTTTGTGAGAGAAATAAAGGATGGCAAAATGGTAATGGTAAGTATAAAGCTCACTGAGCATTCATATATACTGCTAACACTCCTTACGTTTATCTCAAGCTTTATGAACAGATAGTGTTACTTATACACAAAACCTTATACTAATTGGTGGGGAAAGCTAGCACAGATTTTTCAAATATTTATTTTGTTTTGGTTTGTGTCTTGTTTTACTGACAACTGAAAAATTGCTAGTAGTTTTAGGCAGGCCAGCCAGTGGATTTCCAGGGTGTATGTGTTTTTTCTAGAATTTGTGTAAACATCCAAGCAAAAAAAAAACAAGTCCTGGTGAACTGGAAAAGACACAGCGTTCTTAATTATCTATGCAATAATCTGTTGCCAGTGCTAATTTAGATGTCTTTAAAAAATTGTTTTATATATGCACGCATAAATAATATTTAATTACACAGAACAAGTATTTCCCTAGGAAAATAAAATTACAATATTGCAGGAGGTAATAGCATTTTCATATTTAAAAATAAAGGGCTTATTCCTCCTATCTTGTTAAAAACTACGATAAACAGCAATTGTGTGAAGAAAAGTCTTATTTTAAATTTACATTCTTTTCCTGACTTTTCAAGACCAAGAGTATGGGGTGAATAAATGGTGTAAGTTACTATATCTAATGTCCAGGGTGGCATTTCTCATGCTTATTTTTGGCACAGAGATGTAACTTTCAAAAATAAAACCTCTTCAGCTATACTAAACTATGTGACTTGGCTGTTGGAGAAAACCTGTTAGCTTGTTTTCTAAATACTTCAGAGAGTATCTGAATGGATGGAGACTTCCAAATAATTAAAACCTTAAAGCACACGGTCAGTGCAACACAACATGACAAGCAATTCAAGCGAAAATACATGCTTTGGTTTTGGAAACAGCTACCTGCGTATAGAGAAAAGCTTTTCCTTTGGAATTTGAACACGGTGAGATGCCCTGTTCCACTTCAGGAAACACCTCCGAAGCTCACACACTGTAGTTAAGTGTTCTGCCCAACTGCAGCAACTAAAATATAACAGTCATTTCTAGTCTCACTCCAGTTGCCTTGTACTTGTGCACTATGTGCTTCTTGGGTTTGAAACTAGCAAGGAGAAAGTTGTGTCCATAACTTTGAGGTTTTGCCTCTGTTCATTTAAAATATCAATAATCTAGACTGACTAGATATAAATTACATAGTGTAAAACAACCTTGCTCTAGCATGGGCTTCTTAATATGTTAAGTCATTACAGAAAATGGTCCAGCATCTAACGTGTCTGTCTTTTCCTTGGACTTGCAGACTCTCACCTTTGGTGATGTGGTTGCTGTTCGCCACTATGAGAAAGCGTAGAGTTTACCTGACCTCTGTCCAGATGTTGCTTCTGCTGGATGGATTAATGTTCCATCCATAATCGAACGTAGCTAAAATGCACATTTCTGGCATGCAAGGTTAATAAAGAGTTTTGTGGGGGGGGTGGTTTTTTTAAAGAAACTTTATGCCATCAAAGTGGCAAGCTTGTGCTGTGTAATGAAACAGGTTAAACTTGGCATTAAATTTCTGAAACACGTGCCTCTCTTTTTTTACAGTAAATGGAACGTATTTGAATTGTTTTGGAATGCAGATCAAAGTAAACAGTTTTTTAAACCTGTGCTCCTTTTGCATTTAATTGGCTAATATTCCAGTGTTCTGGAGGGAGTTGTCAAAAGTTCCTTTGTCCGAGTTAAACAACAGAAAAGTACGTGGTACACAACACCTCAGCAGCCTCTCTATGGGATGAGTGAGAGTATATGGGAAGCGAAAAAGTTCCTTCACTCTACTTCAGTGGCTTCTTTTTGCTGGAGAAATCTAAAGCCCCTGTCTTTATATGCATAGGCAGAGAAGTGAGAGGCTCAAGGCAGTTTCAGCTCCTCTCTTCACTGGGAACTTGTTACCTACTGCATGTTAAGGCCCATAGGCAGGTAGCCTTCAATGTCAGGGGAGATCCCCTAGTTTTGGTTTTAGTAGTTATGAGAGTTTTTCATTTGTTTTGGTGGGCTTTTTTGCTAATACACAAAAGATTGAAGTAAATCAAAGTGCAAAGATGGAAGCGTTTCACGGGATGGGAGGAAAGGACAAACACGATAAAGGGTAGGACTGGGGGAACCTAAAGTACAAAGCTTTCAGTTGGTCTCCACAGGGGTGGGAGGAAAACAAAGGGAAAACAGTACAAGACAAAGCTGAGATTCCTCTCCCCGAGCTGTAGCTTCATAGCTACTATGTACAGGAGATAATAATTTGCACTGTGAGCAGTTTAAAATAAAATGCTGCTTAAAAGAGATAAATTAAAACCTTCTTCCTGAAGAATATTCCCTAAAAGACCAGAGTGGGAAAAACTGCCTTACACTTGGGGAGTATTAGGAAAATTGAAACAGGTTGCTGGCAGCATGGAGGAGATTGATTGGAGAGTCCATGTTTCCTGACACACTGACTCAGTGGACCACATGGAGGTGCAGCTACCTACAACCTTTCAAACAAAGGCAGAGCTGAGCTGTGGCATTCAGCTGGTCAGTACTCCAGGGTGCATGGCTGCAGTGGGCGGTGCAGGAGGGACGTCCTGCCCACCAGCATCCCAGGGCTGATGCTGCACTGTGCCATCCTTCAGATCTGCTACATGGCATCACGGGAAGCGGCTTCTTGCTTTCCTGGATAGCCAGGATCACATGGGTAGCTCACCTCACTCATCTGATGAAAGCTCACACATGACTATGGCACCTAACCAACACAAATGCAAAATTTGATGTTGTTAGCTTTACTTTTTCACAAAGCAGCTCCCTGAAAGGAACATCCAAGGCTGTTTTCTCTTGTGGGGAACACTAAGTGTCCTTAATTATGAACCAATATGTTTCATTTGGTGGATATTGATAATTTCTAAAATCTAGGTGCTAACGTTTTTCACCAGAGAAATGAAAAGTAGAACTTGTTCCAGTGGTATGGGGAGCTGCAGTCTCTTGTTTCGGGCTGCTTCAGCTGCTATAGTGCAACTTCTGATTAAACAGCATCTTCTGCCCTTCGGTTTTATTGGCTTGTTTAATCCTCAGCTTCAGTACTTAATACAACTTTCATCTGTCTCCCCTCCATTGCTGCCTGTTCACCCGTGGGTGCATTCGCCACATGACTGTCCTTGCCGGCCACCCCTTCTCAGAAAGGTGAGAGCAGCTGCTTTTCCTTCATCACTGGGGAAAACTGACTGGGGTCCCCAGTACTGGTAATCATCTTCATGATGAGTCATTTGTGGGGTCATGAATTAAAAAAATAAGGTTTTTATTAAATACGAGGAAAGGAATGCAGAGACAGATTGTTAAGACTTGGTTTACAAATAAACCCTGAACAGTAAATATTTTACATTAGTCACTTTTAAACAAAGGTTACTTTTCCCAACATACATACATACGTTCTGTAAGTCACATGAAACCATCATGAAGTTTATTTGTGAAGTCTTTTGCTATTCTAAAGATGAACAATATTAATGTCAAATTAAATAAGGGAGAGAAAAATGGAGTAGTGCCTGCGGCACTGCTCAGAGGAGTGGAAAAGCGAGGAAAACACCGATACATGGGACTTCCAGCTGCTGGAAAGCAGATCTGAATAGAACGGCACAGTGAGCAGCAGGACATTTGGCGGCAGCTACGGGATGCATGACACTATTATTCTGGTCTGCTCCTTAAACGACACCGAGTCCTCTTCCTCACCGGAAACTACTCTGACTTAAGCAATAAACATCGGCTCTGCTACCATAAAGCCTTAGCAATGGAGACTTGTACTTACAATACACCTCAGCATTTTCCTTAGGCTGTATTTAAGGTGTACTTGACAGCATAATTCAATCAGCTTTTTTTTTTTTTTTAAAATTTTAAAGCGTGTTAAGTAACCAGGATCCATTTTTACATCTACCCTTCCAAAAGATGCTTGAGACTCCTTGCACGGCGTCCGAGCGCAGCCTGCTCAGGGCAGGCAGAGCAGGCCGGGCTCAGGCCGGGCTCAGGCCGGGCTCAGGCCGG